GCCATAGCTGTAGCATAGCGTGTGTGTGTGTTGCGTATGATACTGAGTGTTGCGTGTGGGACATCCAGGGTGATCCAGAGTGCGAACAGTGAGTTGTGTGGGCGCCCAGTCGCCATAGCCAGTTGAAGAGAACTCATATCTGGTTACGATATCTTAAGTACTGTCAGGGCGCATGTCGCCAGTTGCTGTATCGCTGTTTGCATGCAAGACAAATGTGAATAATCGGAGTGTGAATGCAGTTTGCCCCAAACAGCGCAAAAAGTGTATGAGGCCCTGAAACAACTTTTCGCATCATTGTGCATCGGTGCTGGGCCGGTAAAACCCAGCCTGCAAAAAATGGCAGGAAAGTGTTCTACCGGCCCAAACGGGGTGCAAAAATGACGCGAAAGGTTGTTTCGGGGCCTCTAGCACTTCTTGCTCCGTTTGGGGGCAAATTCATACAAAGGTTTCATTGCAGGGGGGGAGGTGTTTATAACTTTTTTCCCAAAAAGTTTGCAGTTGCTTACAAAGTTTGAGGATGTGAAAGTTGTGAAACCCATCGGGGTTGTTTCCTCTTTTTGTACCATATGTGGTTCTGGTCTGTAGGAAATGTGCTCTGCAAAGCAACAAATTAAGCCGAATGAAGATGGAAGCTTACCTCTATGAGATAATGGGTGCCTGACACAGAAGTATACTGGAGGGAATGCATCCGCAATAACTTCCGGAGTTCTGGTAGTAAATCATCCAGTTTCTTCTCTGCTGCTTTGATGGCTGCCTTGCATCGTGCCACCTGTTCAAGAATGGTGGGGAGACATCTAGCACATTCACGTTGGTGAAGGCAGGACCAAAGAAAACACCACAAGATCACCCAGCACAGCTCCATTCCGAGGGGGAAAAGGACGAAAGAAAAAAGAAAAAAGGGGAAAAAAACGGTGTCATTCCACGATAGTCAAACAGCAAACAAATACGCTCCGTTCATAGAAAGAAAGATCATGGAAGAAGGGGTAGAAAAGGACAGGAGAAATGAATGGAACGGAAAAAGAATAGCATTACCAATAGCAAGTATAGCATAATGACTGCTATGTGAAACGGGAAAGGTAATCCTTTGTTCGCTGACGTCAAGGGCTGAGCACCACGCCTTCATCTAGATGGGCCATGCAACTCCTCTTCCATGCCTAGTTTGCTTACATTATTACAGCTTTCGGGCTCATGCACGAAAAATCCACATAGACAACACATCCATTTTTGCTAATCATATGTCCAAGAAGTTGTTTCAAAGGCGGAAGCATAGACTGGACTGCAAATCTATTCACAACTAACAGAAGGCCGCCAACTCATTGATGACAACACCAGAAATACAACACCATTCACCTCACCATTTCCCCAGATCCAATTAGACCATTCTGAATGAAGCAAAAAGCATAAGAACTTGGTTGTAATGTTTTGTACAATCATTTTCTGAACCCTTCTTTATTCTGTACTGGGGCAACATTCCCCTGTTGGCTCCCCCGAAACAAGTCCCCTGTTTGCTACCCGTGAGCCGTTCCCCTGCTTCATCCCCCTCCCAGAACCCCTCATGTTCATTGTCCATCACCTTGGAATACATTAGATGAGCTTTCACCCCTCACTTACCTTTCTGGCCCTTTTTTCCTTTGTGCATGTTTATTCTGCCATCAGGTCCATCAACTTGATATGTTTCAGAAGCTGCTAAGTTAGTCGGTTGCCTTCTTTGTCTTGTTTCTTCGCTCCAATACCATTTTTATTACACAACAACGACGGAAGACATATGCTCTAAAGGTTAACTCGCCAAACCACTCACCATGGAAACCAGAAGGGGGGGATGTGACAGACTTTGGTCAGACTTGTGGACTCTTCAACATGCACACCACCTTCAGCAGCCACGAAAGCCAATGTGTGAAATGAACAATGGAGTATCATCACCAGAAAGCACATCTGGCGTAGACACCCAGCAATCCTGACACCCGGCAGCCAGACAGCCATACGGCCGACCCGGGTGGACAGACGGATGGACAGCCAGATAACCATGAAGATGAATAACCTACCAGTGAATGGATGAGAAGATGTGCAACGTACCTGTGGTTGGATAGATCATCTAACCACAGAAAATGGATAAGTATGACAGCCATGCAGACAGAACAGGATTTCACGCAGCAAACAGCCCGAGTCCTGGTCCCAGAGTCCCAGTTGGTCCCCAGTTGGTTCCGGTCCTGCTAGGTCCTATAGGCCGAGTTCCAGGCTATGGTCTGTAGGTCCGGTAGGCTATAGGTCGAAGTGTTGTAGCTCGAGTTGAGCGGGTGCCGAAAAGACAGGTTGTTAGAAGTCCAGTCCGGTACCCGACAAGAAAAGTCCAGCCTCGAGTTCCAGAAAAGTCCATACATACTGGACCAACAAAAATCATGCAGCAGACAGGCCGCGGGCGACCAGTACCGCTCAGAAGCAGGCAGAGCAAGTTTGTATTTATAGCTGCTACAGTGCAGCGCTCCAGTCAGTTGTTCACAAAGTTGCAAAAGCACTGTTGCCTGCTTGTGCGACCATGCGACCTGGGCAGTATGCCCCTGGAAGAGGAAGAAGGCGCCTGAAGACTCCAAAGCTAGGGTTGAGTAGCAAGGAGGGCGGCCATAGCTGCCAAGGTCGGAGTTGAGTCTGAGCAGGTGTGTTCAGTGCTACGATGTAGGGTAGCCGTCTGTGTGAGACTGAGTGATACCACACACACACACACAGAGAGAGAGAGAGAGAGAGAGAGAGAGAGAGAGAGAGAGAGAGAGAGAGAGAGAGAGAGAGAGAGAGAGAGNAGAGAGAGAGAGAGAGAGAGAGAGAGAGAGAGAGAGAGAGAGAGAGAGAGAGAGAGAGAGAGAGAGAGAGAGAGAGAGAGAAGGAGACAGCACGTAGGCAGCTGGGAGTTAGGTACTTACCTGTTGGGGATATCGGATCTGTGGAGCGGCGCAGTCCGCTGGTTACCCAAACTCTCAATTTGTATACTATGATATAACCCTTTGAAGTTGCCCAAGTTCCGATTCTGTGTTTCAATTCTCTGGTGTGGTGTGAATTTTTTCGATTCTGTGTTTCAATTCTCTGGTGTGGTGTGAATTTTTATGTTTGCATGTCTGTTTGGGAGTGGAATTGAGAGCAGTTCATTTCAGAGGGATGGGTGGACAACAATTCCATGACTACAGTGTGGGCTTGAGAGCTTACAAGGAGTACCATATATGAAACACCTGCACGCAGATTCTTTTACCTACGTCAATGGCCAACCACAGTGAACCACAAGCGTAAGCCTATGAAAAACGAAAATAGCTATATTAGTACATACATCTGTAAGTCGAGGAGCGTCACTGGGAGAGTGGTGAGGTAGAAGGGCCACTTATTACTTACCTCTGGGAACCGTCCAGTCGAGCAGTTGAATAGCTGGAGTTTGTCCCCGGCAATTGCTGCTGTCACATTCACAGCTGACAGCATTCTTGCAGATTCTTCCAAGACTTTGTGGGATGAGGCTGCCATCATCAGTCTTTTCAACAGGGAGGACCTCACACTACCCCTGGCCAGAGTTCCAATGCTACATTCTTCAGCAGAAATGCAGGGTCTACCAGCTTCCTGGGACTCGCCAGAACTCTCTGCTTCATGCTGCTCCCCTATGAGACGCCTTGTGCTCTTTGCTGCTGATGACAGCACCTGAATAACTGAAACAAACTGGCACAAATTCCAAAAACACACCACACGCAGAGAGTCAGAGACCAGTGGCTGTGGCGGAGATAGGAAACAGGTTCAAAGAATGAAATAACAACTCTCGTCTTCTGCCACTTCCAGCTACAAACCTTCACATTGTATTCAACATAATATTTTTCTGCTGCATTCGACACAAGATTCCCCCAACACCCCCCTACCGCCCCCCAACACCTTCATAAGCCCCCCATTCCCCCCACTCATCCACAAAAGTTTCTCAGCAGATTTGGGCCACACTCAGTAAGTGCAGTTCAGAACCTTCAGATTTAGAAGGATGGCCCTCTAGAGACTGTTGGGAGACCGCCGACTGATCGGCCCTACTGGTAGGCTGCAAAACGGTCCGCTGTCCGTGTCCGTGGTTGGCGGGTATGCAACACTGCAGTCACAGTCTTCTTTCAGACACTTCCACTACCATCTTCACCCGAATAGAACACCCGGTAATTATCGCTGTATCTGGACTGGAAGTTGCCCCAAATACAGCTATAATGACCGGGCGTTCTATTCGGGGGAAGACGGTAGTGCTTTCAGGCTCTGTCCTTGTACAGCATTTACTCCTTTGTACCATACTTGTGGCACACCTGTGCGGTGCGCTGTGCACTGTGCGCACATGGGTGATGCGCGTGCACCGCGCATGCTGCGCACACATGGGTAATGTGCTGGGCACACGCTACTATGCCCCATGCACGGGCACAGGTACATGTGCTTTTTTTAATGTGAGTGTAATGACCTGCAAAATCACAGACTGAAAACTCTGCTGATTTCTGAGTTTTGCTGCTGGAATGTTTCACTTGCTGAGATTCCAGCTTTCTGCTGAGATTTCTAAGTCTGTGTGTGTGCGTGCTTGCTGGTTAGCGTGCTTGTCTGAGTACTTGAGTGTGTGTGACCCGCCAAGGGACTCGTGTGCTTGGAAGGCCCTCAGGCCTGGTACTTACCTGTGGCCGTGACTTTGAGCGTTGCAGTGAAGGAAAACACCCAAGTAGCGGGAAAAGTAGGTCGCATAGCTTAGGGGAACATTCAAGTAGAAGTAGGCCGGCAGAAGAAGACAAAAAGTTATTACCTTCAGAGGCCAAGTGAATTTTAGAGTCCAGTAGGCTTAGGTCTAGGGTACCAGATTAACAGAATGGGACGGTGGGGTAACATGTTTACCTCATTATTAGGAAGGGCCCTAACCATCAACACATCTATCTTCTCGATGATGTGGTATATGACCGTATATCGCTTCCATCAAGTAGCGAGAAAAGCAGGCCGCGTAGCTTAGGGGAACACTCAAGTAGCCGTAGCCCGGCAGAAGAAGACAAAAAGTTAGTACCTTTAGAGGCCAAGTGACTTTTAGGAGTCTGGTAGGCTTAGCTCTAGGGTACCAGATTAACAGAATGGAACGGGGGGGTAACACGTTTACCTCATTATAAGGAAGAGGCCTAACCAGCAACACATCTATCTTCTCGATGATGTAGTATATCGCTTCCATCTGGACCATTCCTGACCAGACTACCATGGAACTGAACTGAACCGCGGAGCCAGGGCATACCTATGGACAGGAGACCCCAACAGAACTAAATACATACCAAAGATAGCTTGGAACTATATAACAAGGAGACCGTCCAAAGGGGGACTAGGAATTATTCACCCCAAGCAGGAAACAAAAGCCCTCCATAATCAAGCTACTAGCTCAACCCAGGCTGGCCTGGCAAAAACTAGTGCTTGATAGCATTAGGTCCTGTCCAAAGTGTTACATGCTGAGCCTTCACACGGGCCCCATTTCAGGGGCCCGGCGGTTGCTGAGGGGCCCCCAGGCCACGTGCCCTTCAGACGCGCGCCCTGGAGGCCCACGGCGGCCCTTAGGCCACAGGTATCGGTTTGAGACAGCATTCATTTATTTATTTATTTGTTCGCTGAATCGCTGTCCTATTTTTCTCTGTTCAGAGTCCCAGACGTCGTTTCGGACTTGCAGTCCCCAAGGCCACGCCTTGGGCTGGGTACACCAGGAGGCAAGGCCATTTGAGGCCAGGCGCATTTTTGCGCCCTGCTGCATCAGGAGGACGGTCTGGACGCCCGGTAGGGGCCCAGACCGTGTGGGCAGTTTCCGGTCAGCGCAGGAGGCACACCCAGCCGGCCCAGCGCTACTTATAGCTGGGCCACGACTGAGCACACAGACAGTTCGAGTAACTCACTTCTTGGGCTACACGCTGCTGGAGCAGCGCGACAGCACTGCATTAGCCAGTAGAGGCGTAGGTAGGGCAGAGAGGCGGAGGCCATACCTGCAGCGGCGGACTTACCTGGCACCGCAGCTGGGACTCCGCACAGCGACCTGCACAGGACGACGGCGACGACGATCGTCAGTGCGCACCACGGTTACCTGCAGGTGAGACAGCAAGGAGGACAACATCTTCCTCTTCTTCTTCGTCTCACCTCCTTGCTTCTTCTTCTTCTTCTTCTTTCAGAGAGAGAGAGAGAGGTTACAGGCAGAGGTTACATCAGGTATTGTGCCCAGGATCTGATCCGACATTTTTGTGGCAGACATTGATCGGACATTTGGACTTGGCAATCACAATCTTGGTCTTCTCCCCCCCCCCATCTTCCTCTCGCCTCTCCCGCCATCTCTCATCCGTGGTATCTCCCCCATGTGCGTGTGCAAGGAGGGGCATTTCTTCTGTGTATGTGGTCCCTCCTCCCTCTCTCACATGCATGGTGTAAGATGGGATGTCGCGTCAGTATTAGACAGGTCAGGACATATCTTTGCGTCTTCCACTGCACTACATTGTGCTATTTTTGTATGTATCTGGATGTACCTTGCTTGTTGACGCTTTGCTGACATTGCATTGTCCATTTTAGTCCTTTTCATCACTTTGCGGAACCTTGGCTCCATATACATTTTTCCCAACTGGGCATGTATCACTTGGTATTGGAGCTGCCACCGGTGAATCAGGACTTCATCCTGATGCGCGAACGGAGGATCGATCAATTTATTGATTGATTGATTGATTGATTGATTGATTGATCGATCGATCGATTGATCGATTGATTGATTGATTGATTGATTGATTGATTAATTGGGTCTTCCCCATTCGCAATTTTCAACCTAACTGCCAATTCCGAAAACAAAAATTAGGTGTTCAATTCTTTCTTTGGCGCAAATTCATAAAATCCGACATAGCGCAGTAGCTGAAGTTTCAATTTTCTCTTTTAGTGAAATTTTGGAATTTCGCTAGTTGATAAATCCGAATTTTTTTCTTTTTTTCGGAATTCTTTTTGTGCAAATCTGGTCTTCCATAAAATCTGAATTCGCAGCGGCTCCAGCTAATGCGATTGTTGCACAGCCCGCTCCGCGTTCTGCAATTTCGAAAATCGCTTTTTTAAGTTTTTTTCTGTTTTTTTTGGGAATCAAGGATTCCACATTTATTTGTAACTGAAACAAACTTAATTTTCCTTATATTTTTTTGGAAAATTCAAACTTTTTTGCTTCAATATTCCAAAATTTTGTTTTTCTCGGAAAGACCTCTCTTTGCAGTTATGTTTTACTGTGCATAGTACTGCATACTCTCATCTGCATTATTCCGAATATCGGAATTACTTGAACTTGCGAAATTTGTTTCACAGTTCCATTATTTATTCTTCGTTATCATTAATCATTTGCAGTCTGGAATTCGAATTTATTTTATTATTATTATTTTTGGATTTCTTTCTCTCGGGATTGGGAGACCTACCGAACTTGCAATTTCAAACTTTTTATTTTTTTCTCGAAATTATTATTAATTATGCAAAGTTTGAACTTTTCAAATTGATTAGTGGCTCCTTATCTGGGCGATCAGTGTAATCCTATTGGGGTGGGGAAGTCCTAGTACTTTCCCCTCTCCCACCCATCCCATCTACGCTGCTGCCTCTCGCTTCTACTCTTCTTCTTCTTCCACATGTCCTCCGCTTCTGAATGCTGCGGGATTGGTGAGTTACCACGTCAGCAGGCCACACCAGCGACACGTCTGCGGACAGTCATGCCACGTCAGCAGCGCACGACTTAGCCCATGCTCACCCGATCACAAACAGGCGACATGGAGCAGAAGCAAGGGGAAACCGACAAGGCCTACGAGGGCCATATGCTGACCTTGACGGCAGAAATCAAACAGCGGGCAGATGCGGCGACAGCCGCATGGAAGAAAAAGGAGGAGGAGGCAGAGCACCAACGTCAGCTGGCGGAGGAACAATGCCGACAGCACGACGAAGCAGCAGTAAAGGCTGCTAGTGAGGACGTAGACAACGTCGGGAGAGGGTATTCAATGAGGAAAGAGAGATTACTCGCACTGGCCGGGGAATGGCGGACCAAGGCAGAAAGCGGCGAAATCAGCAACAGCGGGCTCAAGATCTCGCTTTTGCTTTCCCGCTTCACGGACCTCCTGGCTATCCACTGCCTCAACGACACGGTTGATGACCACAAGAAGACGGTCCAACAGTTGACCAGCCGCGTACAGCTGCTGGAACAACGACCGACCGACGTCCAACAAGGACGTCACAACGGCCTCAACGAGATAGAGGTTGCCATAGGGACACTCAAGGACGGCATGCAGCAGCTCTCACAGCAGATCTGCGCATTAGCCGCCGCTCCTCCTCTGACATCTCGCAATTGCATACCTAAGTTCGACGGCATTCCGATCTTCTGCGACAAATCGAAGACCGTGCCAGTTCCATGGTGGCGCCAATTTGACCTTCGTTTGGACATGTACAACTTAAGCCCCAAACAACATGCTTATTTATATCAGCAGCTGGGGGGCGCGTGTTAGGCATGGCTTAACAATATGTTGTCCTCACACAAGGTCACCATCTTCGAACTGCACAAACAGATCAGCTGGGCTGATCTCAAGGCGGCATGGCACAAGCGGTACCAAGTAGAACCGTCCGAACTTCGAGCAATGGATAAATTGCAGTGGTTCCACCAGAACACCTTGACAAGCGGAGACCGGATTGAATTCAAACTC